TCTATCTATCTATCTATCTATCTATCTATCTATCTATCTATCTATCTCTACATACATACATATTTATACACACACATTATATCACGTCATATATGAGCTTTTTTATATGTTAGCAGACTATCTTTCCAAGTTAAATAAAATTCTTCAACATTAGTAGAGCGCCATTTTCTCTCCTGGTTTCTAGATGCTGCTTTAAAGTACGTAACTCAGAATTGAACCAAGGAACCAGTTTCCTCTGATTGATTACTTTCTTTTTCAGTGGAGCAATTTTATCAAGTGAAGTTTGCATTGAAGTTGTAAGATGATCAACTAGATGATCTAAGTCTCTGTTCTCTGATGCATTACTCTGCAAGACAGAGGAAACATTGATGGAAGAGATTGTTTCAATTTGGTTACAGCATTTTCTGATAAGCACCTGCTGAGATGAAATTTACTCTCAGTGACTGTGTAGTCATGTAATGTAAATATCCTGATGCATGCTCAATAAGCCAGGTAGAAAAATCCAAAAAAGTTAAATGTGGTCCTCTGGACATTCAAACAGTGTCAGGAGGGTGATCAGTCTTACATCGGGGAAACTAAACAGCCACTGGCCAAAAGGATGGACCAGCACAGAAGATCAACATCATCAGGCCAGGACTCTGAGGTCTACACTCATCTCCAGGTCAGAGGTCACTCATTCAGGGATGAAGATGTTCACATCCTGGACAGAGAGGAACGATGGTTTGAGAGAGGAGTAAAGGAGGCCATCTTTGTGAAAAGAAACTGTCCATCATTAAACAGGGGCGGAGCCTCCAGGTTCAACTGTCCCCCTCTTACAATGCTGTGATTGCTAGTATCACTCAGCCCTCTGTGAACAGTAAACAGCCATCAGGTGCTAATGATCCATTGTTAGGCTGATGGTCCTTCTTGAGCATGTGATCAGCTGGTTTTGGTTGTCAGCAGCAAACTGGTTGATCCACTCTGAGAAGGTGCTATTTAAGAGACTGAGCTGAAAACAGCACCTCAGACTGAGGAAGTCTTAAGGGACGATGAGAGACGAAACGTTTCTGCTTTTTTTTTTTTTTTTTTTTTTGAATGTCCAGAGGACCATATTGAACTTTTTTGCATTTAATGTAAACTCAAAGTTATTAAAAAATGGTCGGACAGAACAGGATTTTGAGGAACTATTACCAAGTCCTTAATCTCTGCACCATAGGTCAGAACTAAATCAAGAGTGTGATGATAAGAATGAGAAGATGTTCAGACATTTTGGGTAAAACCAAATGAGTCTATTAAATTATTAAAGGCTATGCTTAATCTATCACTTTCAACATCCACATGAATATTGAACTCACCCATTATGATGATTTTATCAGTATTTAATAATAAGTCAGTTAATAATTCTGATAATTCAGATAAAAACTGAGAGTAAGCTCCTGGTGGACGATATATAACAACTAGTAAAAGTGGCTTTTCTGATTTCCATTTTGGATGAGAAAGACTGAGGGACAGCGATTCAAAAGAATCATAACTAATAACTGGTTTGGCATTAATCAATAATCCTGACTGAAAAATAGAAGCTACTCCTCCACCTCGGCCAGTTGTTCTAGGAACATGAACATTTAAATAATTAACAGGAGTGGATTCATTTATACCAACAAAATCCTCCTGTTGTAGCCAAGTTTCTGTCAGACACAATAAATCAATATGATGATCAGTTATCAGTTCATTAACTAACAGGGATTTAGAGGAAACAGATCTGATGTTCAATAATCCACATTTAATGATTTGATGATGTTGCTCTGGTAAAGTAACGACAGGGCTTAATTTGTAAAACAATTGATGCTGGAACACAAATAGCAGGCGGTCCGACGGGGGCGGGGGGGGTGCTTTGTGTTGGGGTTGTGTGTGTGTGTGGGGGGGGGGGTCTGTGGTTCCTCCCCCAGAAAATTTGGAATAAAATAGATGCAATTTCCTGCATTTTGGTGTATTTTAACAGATTGTTAAACATCTGTAAACGTTTGATTAAGTTGATTAAAAACAGGCCTCTCTTGTAAATGACGAGGCTCAATGAGACTAACAACCTGTGTAAATAAAGGTTGAATTGAAATTACTATTTTAAAGAGCAGTGAATTATAGCAACTCTAATTCTGTCAAGTGTCCCATCTAGGGCTTAAACAGACTACTTGAGTAATCGGCAGGTCGATTCCGAGAACATCTATTGAGTTTTTGAATTTCACGTCGAGTAATCACAGTGACGTCATTGCATCACGTGTCACGTGATCCACACCGGGCTAGTAGTAGGAGCCACCAAATGGATTCCTCCAGCAGATGGACTGAGTAGAGCAGGTCCAGTCTTGGCAAACAGGTAGAAATGCATCAGTAGTGTGGGAATATTTCACTAAAGATTAATCTTCCGGTTCAACTACCGTAAGGAAACAGAAAATTAATCAACTTCCTGACTGTTTTGAGCTCGTTGCGAACCGGTGTTATATCATTTTCTGTGACCATAGGGGGTGGTGTTGCATGCACTGTTGCAGATCACAGAATATGGTGAAACACCGGGTCCAATCCACCGAACCAGAACCAGCTTCCTTCTGACCTTGTTTCACAAAGTAAAAGCAAAAAATATTAATCTCTAAACCTATATATAAAAAAAACTATAAACATATTTATCTCTAAACCTAATGCGCACCACAGCTGGCGGTGGTGCGGTGTGGTAGTCTGCCCCACTGTTTTTAGTTTCGTTTTTGACGTGCTGCACGTTTCTCCACTTTTGCAGCTTAATAACAATAACTTATAGTTTTGGTTTTTCTTTGACTTATTTGCAGTATGATACATGGTAGGAGCATAATATATGCTCCCAATGTTTTTTTTTTTTTTGTAAATAAATTACGTTTATTTTTTTCATCTTAAGATTCTATGACGTCATCAACTACTCGAGTTCTACACGAGTTTTATTATATTAATGTCGATTTAAAAAATTATGTAATCGTTCAACCCCTGGGCCCCCCCCCCCCCCCACACACACACACAATCTTCAATGTCCGACCCGAACTCTTCTGAATTCAGTCCTGCGTGTTGTTCTGTTCCAGTCTCTTTCACCACTGCTTCAATTCTCTGTTGTCCAGCTACAGTAAGGACAATCATCCATCCTTTTGTTTTAGATAATAAATTGGACTGTCTTTTTGACATTTTGATTGCTGGTATTTTGACTAATTTTGAAACATAATATAATGTGAATAATACACATCAAACATTTCACTCGTATTTTTTTACTGTAAGCTTTTTTTTTATAATTATCTTTGAAATGTATGCAGGAGCTCTGACACATTGGCAGTTGTGCGCGCTTTGCAGAGCTGTCTGGAGACGCTCCTGTGCATAAAATGTGCACTGTCTGCAGGGCGCACAGCTGAGCAGGTGAAGCTGACACCCACCCACATCAAAAATTCCAGTAAATACAATGAGTGGTTAGTGCTACTTTTGTACTGGTTAAAATGTTCATTTGTGCTGCTTTGGTTTCTGAGACACAGCTGAAGATGGATGAAGACGCTTCATCCCCGCGGGACATGTGATCAGCGTCTCTGCTGGCAGCAGCGTTTGCGCGAGCTGTTGTGCCTACTACAGCAGTAACATCCACACAGACATGGACAACGTCTCCTGTCGCTGTATTTTTAATAAATAATCAAAATGAAAATGCGCTATGACTTTTATGGGTGGAGATATGAGCTGACGGATCTGACTGAACAGTTGCCGGAATGCACACGGTGAAAATGAGGGAGTTCCTGGATCTTGTTCCGGCAGGATCTGGCTCAAATTAAGCACTGAGTAACGGTGTTTATTTTATTAAGATTTTTATGGTTTATATTTTTAGAGCTGATTTTTGGTTTATTTAATTTGAGCTGTGGGTGAGTTGACACTGTTTCAATGGGGTGAGGGTGGGTAACAGAGGAGAAGCAGTAGAGAGGTGTGGAGGACTACAACTCTGCTTCCTGGACTGGACCCTGGGTTGTCAGTAATTTGGGGGATAAACAAAATCAGCCATATTTCTAGAAAGAAGAGCGGCTCCGTCCAAAGTGGGATGGATGCCATCTCTCCGCATCAGACCAGGTTTTACCCAGAAAGAACTCCAGTTATCTTTGTAGCCCACGTCCTTGTCAGAACACCACCTGGCCACTGAGCGGTTAAACAACGACATACGGCTAAACATGTCATCGCTGGTCAGGTTGGGGAGGGTGGCCAGAGAAAACTACGGAGTCCAACATGGTTTTTGCAAAGTCACACACCGAAGCAACATTAATTTTAGTGACCACCGATTGGCGTGATCGGGTGTCATTACCGCCGACATGAATAACAATCTTACTGTAATTAGCCTTACCCTTAGTCAGCAGTTTCAGATAAGATTCTATGTGCCCGCCCTGGCCCCCGGAATGCAATTAACTATGGCCGCTGGAGTCCCTAAAACCACGTTTCGGACTATGGAGCTGCCAATAACCAGGGTCTGCTTCTCAGCGGGTGTGTCACTGAGCGAGGAAAATCCATTAGAAATGTGAATGGGTCGGTGGTGAACTGGGGGCTTAGACTTATCACTACGCTTGCTCCGGACCATCACTCAGCTGGCCTGGGGTCCCAGCTGCTTGGGGTCTGCTAGAGGACCCCTAACGGGAGCTAGCCTCTGTGGTTCCACACTGTCTAAGGGGACCTGGCTAACTACTGTTTTTTCTAAAGCGCAGAGCCGAGCTTCCAGTTCAGACAGCCTCTCCTCCAAAACTATCATAAGACTATATTTGTTACATGTATCATTATCACTAAAGGAGGCAGAGGAATAACAACATCTGACACACGGAGCAAGTGAAAACAGAGGAAGCAGGGAGAGAAGCAGCAGCCATGCTAAGCTAACGCTAGTAGGAGCTAGCAGAGCCAAATACACCAATAAAAACCGAGAGAAGTGTTGAAATATAAGAGGTGTTTTAAGCACTATCCAACTGTAGAAAAACAACTGTACTAAGTGTGTTTGTGATCTACAATGAAAAACTGTGCAAAAGACAGATTATTCCAGAAAACAGAGACGACTCTAGCAAACGACTCACTCGAGCTACCAACAGACAAACATGAAGTGACACCACACGTCTCACAGTTTTATAAAGCAGTTTTATAGAACAGCCAAATGTTCAAATGTATTTTGTCTTATCATTGTTAATATTTTACTTGTCATGATGACAGGTGATATACTACCTCACCTGCCTCTCTGACTGCACGTCACTGGTGTGTGTTTGTGTGTGTGTGTGTGTCCAGCAGGATGTTAGATCAGCAGGCTGAGCGGGTCATGGCTCTGTCAGAATGGGAGAATCGCTGGCAGGAGAACCGAATCGGCTTCCATCAGCCAGCTCTGCACACGTAAACAACTTTAATACATGTTTGTTTGTTCTTAAAATCCAGAGAAACACGTTGGTGGAGATTCTCACTCATCCATGACATGAGTACAGAATATTTTTGATAATGGTGTGGTCATATGGGACGGCGATAGTCAAATATAATGAAAAAGTTATGATATAATCCTTAAAAAATGAGTCAGTGTTTCTTTGTCCTAAAAGAGACCAACACAAATCAACATTTAACTTTGGGTCAGACCTCACTTGTCTCAGTTTCTCCATCCATCCATCCATCCATCCATTTTCTTCCGCTTATCCGGGGTTGGGTCGCGGGGGTAGCAGCTTAAGTAGGGAGGCCCAGACTTCCCTCTCCTCAGCCACTTGGGCCAGCTCCTCCGGGGGAATCCCGAGGCGTTCCCAGGCCAGCTGAGAAACAGTCCCTCCAGCGTGTCCTGGGTCTTCCTCTAGGTCTCCTCCCGGTGGGACGTGTCCGGAACACCTCACCAGGGAGGCGTCCAGGAGGCATCCTAACCAGATGCCCAAGCCACCTCAACTGGCTCCTCTCGACGTGGAGAAGCAGCGGATCTACTCTTGAGTCCCTCCAGGATGATCGAGCTTCTTACCCTATCTCTAAGGGAGAGCTCAGACACCATGCGGAGAAAACTCATTTTGGCCGCTTGTATCCGAGATCTCGTTCTTTCGGTCACAACCCAAAGCTCATTACCATAGATGAGGGTAGGAACATAGATCGATCGGTAAATTGAGAGTTTCGCTTTTTGACTCAGCTCTCTCTTCACCATGACAGACCTGTACAGCGCCTGCATCACTGCAGACGGTGCACCTATCCGCCTATCGATCCCATGCTCCATTTTTCCCTCATAAGACCCCAAGATACTTGAACTCCTCCAATTGGGGCAGGACCTCCTCCGTGACCTGGAGAGGGCACTCTACACTTTTCTGGCTCAAGACCATGGCCTCGGATTTTGAGGAACTGATCTTCATCCCGGCCGTGTCGCACTCGGCTGCAAACCGCTCCAGCGAAAGCTGTAGATCACGATCTGATGAAGCCAGTAGGATCACATCATCTGTAAAAAGCATAGATTAAATCCTAAGGCCACCAAAACGGATCCCCTCAACACCTTGGCTGCGCCTAGAAATTCTGTGCATAAATGTTATGAACAGAATCAGTGACAAAGGGCAACCTTGGCGGAGTCCAACTCTCACCAGGAACAAGCCCGACATACTGCCAGCAATGCGGACCTGGCTCTGACACCGGTCATACAGGGACCTAACAGCCAGTATCAAAGGGCCCGGTACACCATACTCCCAGAGTACCCCCCACAGGGTTCCCTGAGAGACACGGTCGAACGCCTTCTCCATGTCCACAAAGCACATGTAGACCAGTTGGGCAAACTCCCATGCACCCTCCAGGACCCTGCTGAGAGTGTAAAGCTGGTCTAGTGTTCCACGACCGGGACGAAAACCACACTGCTACTCCTGAATCTGAGGTTGACTATCCGACGGACCCTCCTCTCCAGAACCCCCGAATAGACCTTACCAGGGAGGCTTAAGAGCGTGATCCCCCTGTAGTTGGAACACACTCTATGGTCCCCCTTTTTGAATAGGGAGACCACCACCCCGGTCTGCCAATCCAAGGGAACTTCCCCTGATGTCCACGAAATATTGCAGTCGCATAAGCCAACACAACCCTACAACATCAAGAGCCTTAAGGAACTCCGGGCGAATCTCATCCACCCCTGGGGTCCTGCCACCGAGGAGCTTTTTAACCACCTCGGTGACCTCAGCACCAGAGATTGGAGGGCCCGACCCAGAGTCCCCAGGCTCTGCTTCCTCAGTGGAAGACGTGCCGGTGAGATTGAGGAGGTCTTCAAAGTATTCTGCTCATTGACACACAACATCCCGTGTTGAGGTCAGCAGCACACCACTCCCACTATAAACAGTGTTGGTGGTGTACCACTTTCCCCCCTGAGATGCCGGATGGTGGACCAGAATCGCCTCGAAGCCGTGGGAAGTCATTCTCCATGGCCTCTCCGAACTCCTCCCATGCCCGAGTTTTTGCCTCAGCGACCACCCAAGCCGCATGTCGCTTGGACTGCCGGTACCCATCAGCTGCTTCCGGGGTCCCACAGGCCATAAAGGCCCAATAGGACTCCTTCTTCAGCCTGACAGCATCCCTCACCGATGGTGTCCACCACCGGGTTCGAGGGTTGCCACCACGACAGGCACCGACAACCTTGCGGCCGCAGCTCCGGTAAGCCGCCTCGACAATAGAGGCACGGAACATGGCCCACTCAGACTCAATGTCCCCCACCTCCCCTGGAACATGTTCGAAGTTCTCCCGGAGGTGGGAGTTAAAGCTCCGTCTCACAGGAGACTCTGCCAGACGTTCCCAGCAAACCCTCACAATACGTTTGGGCCTGCCAGGTCTGACAGGCATCCTCCCCCACCATCGGAGCCAACTCAGCATCAGGTCGTGATCAGTGGACAGCTCCACCCCTCTCTTCACCCAAGTGTCCAAGACACGTGGCCACAGATCAGATGAGACGACAACAAAGTCGATCAAGGAAATGCAGCCTAGGGTGTCCTGGTGCAAAGAGCACATATGGACACCCTTATGCTTGGACATGGTGTTCGTTACTGACAATCCATGATGAGCACAGAAGTCCAACAACAGAACACCACTTGGGTTCAGATCAGGGGGGCCGTTCCTCCCAACCACACCCTTCCAAGTCTCACTGTCATTGCCCACATGAGCATTGAAGTCCCCCAGCAGAACAAGGGAGTCCCCAGGAGGTGCACTTTCCAGTACCCCCTCCAAGGACTCCAAAAAGGGTAGATAATCTGAACTGCCATTTGGTGCACAAGCACAAACGACAGTCAGAACCCGTCCCCCCACATGTAGGCGGAGGGAGGCCACCCTCTCATACACTGGGGTGAACCCCAACACTCAGGCACCAAGATGGGGGGCAATAAGTATGCTCACTCCTGCTCGGCGCCTCTCACCAGGGGCAACTCCAGAGTGGAAGAGTGTCCAACCCCTCTCAAGGAAACTGGTTCCAGAACCAAAGCCATGCGTAGAGGTGAGTCTGACTACTTCTATCTGGAACCTCTCAACCTCACACACCAGCTCAGGCTCCTTCCCCACCAGCGAGGGGACATTCCACGTCCCAATAGCCAGCTTCTGTAGCCAAGGATCAGACCGCCAGGGTCCCTGCCCTCGGCCACCACCCATCCCACATTGCACCCAACCCCTTTGGCCCCTCCCACAGGTGGTGAGCCCATGGGAAGGGGGACCCACATCTCCTCTCCAGGCTGTGCCCGGCCGAGCTCCATGGGTAAAAGCCCGGCCACCAGGCGCTCACCCACGTGCCCCACCTCTTGGCCTGGCTCCAGAGTGAACCGGTGACCCATGTCCGGGCGAGGGAACATCAAGTCCATTTATTTTACTCATCGTAGGGGTGTTTGGGCTGCACTTTGTCTGGTCCCTCACCAGTTTCTACTTTTAAAAATTGTTTAAAAGGCATTTTTAAAGATACTTGCAAATGTTTTCTTCTTTAGTAATGTTGCTGTTTGACGTTGACAATGAACTGTTGTTAATTAATTTGTGTTTCCTTATTTATGACGTCTATATTTCATGTCTTACATCCCTTCCTGTGACTCTACAATTTGGTGCTGCCAGGTCAGCTCTATAAATAATAGTTTGTTATTCGAGTTTATGCCTCATTAAATAAAGGAAACAGTTTATTTTACAATTTTACATTTCAGAATAAACTTTATATTTTACATTTATAAACAGTTTTGTGGCTCTTGAAAAGTGAGAACAGGAGCAGGAATTATTCTTTTTTTAGTGATTGCTGGACCATGGAGCACAGCTAAATAGTCATCCGCCCCAAAAAGTAGTCCCTCCTAATTAACAAAGAAAATAACTTCTTTTCTGAGCTTGATGTGTGTTGTTTTGTTCTGTTTTTTTTTTTTTTCATTCATTCAACCTTTATTTATACAGATTAGTCTTGTTATGCTTCGAGCCTCAAGTTTTCAATTCAGTTTACAGGTCTCTCTTGTAAATGAGTCCCTGAGGCTCAATGGGATTAACCTGTCTAAATAAAGGTTGAATGAATTTATATTTTCCTTACACTGACCTTAGCCCAGGGGTGCCCAAAGTGGGGCCCGTGGGCCAAAGTTGGCCCGCCAAACCATTTCAGTTGGCCTGCCAAACTGTCCTCATTACTATATTAAAATTTTCTTTGAAGAATCAATTTGTTTACACTCATTGATTCCACCCATTGACTTTATTGTTAGTCGGTCTGACTACCATAATTTAAATCCAGGATTACACTGTAGAGTACATAATTTATGTATTTTTAAAATAATTTTAATTATTTATATTTTATATTTTATTTTGACAGACTTTCTACTATCCCTTGGCAGCTTCCTGCCACTGAATAACATTTTCCTTTGACAGAAAACACTTATAAATCACACAGTATTTGAAAGTAAATTTCAGTAGTGATTTTAGCCTCTTTACATTTAATCTCAGCACCCCTGAAAAATAAAGAAACCATCATTAGGATTGTGTAAGGAAACAGTTCTCAAACCTTAGAATCGCAAAAATATTGAATAAATACGGAATAAATGACGACAGTCACAAACAGACCAATAAAATCTATGATTTTTTTTTGCATGAGGCCAGCCATCTGTCAATCAATCCAGTAACCATGTCATCAACTGACCAATCAGCAACCTCAATTTGTCCTGAAGTGAACACCTCTTACCTGCAGAGCTGCAGTGGTGTTGCATGAATACTTTGCAGTCAGAGATTTCAATAATAACAGAGTTTAAATGTTTTGTTTCATAATAATCTATTGTAATAAACCTTTGTAAAATATACCAGAATGCAGGAAATGTAATCTACTTTAATCAAAATCCGCTGGGGGAGGACCCCTAGACCCCCACCCCTGACCCCGCCACCACCAACAGAGTCTGTTCTGTAATGTTCTTTATACAGAATGGAAGGTTAAATAACCGTATAATAAGTAAATGGACTTTACTTAAAGAAGTAGTTGCATTTCATGTATTATATTATTGCATTTGGCCCGCAACCCTCTGATAGATTTTAAATTTGGCCCTCTCGGGGAAAAAGTTTGGACACCCCTGCCTTAGACTGATGATGGTTTGATGTCCAACAGAATGCTGAAGACTCATCTGGACAAAGTTTTGAGTGGACGGACTGGAGTTCGCTTTTTCTTTCCTCTGTGTGGAAAAGCTGTGGACATGAAGTGGTACGAGCAGATGTTCAGATAAATCACATGTTTGAGTCGTGATCTGACTTGATCATCCTTTTCCAGGTTGGCTGATCTGGGTCACACAGTGGTTGGAGTGGAGATCTCTGAAAAGGCTGTTCGGCAATTCTTTGAGGAGAACAATATGACATTCACAGAGGAGCTGGTTCCTTCTATACCTGGAGCCAAACTTTTTAAGGTAAGTAATCTGAACAACCTTTAGTACTGACTCTGGGCATTTAATGGCTGATCAGCTGGTCCTGGGTCTGTTGGACAATGTTGGACCAACGATACAGTGGATCATAAATCAGTTATTCCTTATACCACACCAGTCTGAGCTCAGACTCAAGAAATAACCTGAGGAAAGTCTGATAAGAATTTGATGAGGTGAAGGTGAAAAGAATCAAGTTCAAATTTATTGTCATTTGCATGTGGTACATGAGGTAGAACAAAATTATGTACTTAAGGTCCCAGTTACACCCAAAAATAGCAAAAATACAAAGTATAAAAAGAAACAATATATATGCCAGGTCTGGAACTGTGAGGAGCAATTGGTCCATTGACCTCAGGGAACGTGGTGGGGCGGCTGTGGCTGAGTGGATAGAGCATTCGTCCTCCAATGCAAGAGTTGAGGGTTCGAATCCACCAGCAGTCACATGCTGAAGTGTCCCTGGGCAAGACACTGAACCCCTCATAGCCTCTGATGTGTGTCCCATCAGTGTCTGAATGTGATCTAAAGCTCTGATTAGTCGCTTTAGAATGATTTGTTCAATTAGCTTTGTAAAGATCTAGTAGAGTGCTGTATGAATGGGTAAATGAGGCACAGATTGTAGTGTAAAGCGCTTTGAGTATCTTGAAACAAGATAGAAAGGCGCAAAATAAGTACAGTCCATTTCCCATTTACCATTCACATACGGTTGTAGCAGATAAGAGAGATGGGGGGGACTGTTCAGAGATTTGTAGACATACAGGAGTTTTTTAAACTGGATTCGAAGATGAATCGGTAACCAGTGCAGTGAGGCCAAAACGGGTGTCGTGTGCTCTCTTTTGCCTGTACTGGTTAAAAATCGGGCTGCTGCATTCTGGACCAGTTGTAGTCGTGCAATGGAGGTCTGACTGATACCAAAAAGGAGTGAATTGCAGTAATCAAGCCTAGATGTAATGGTATGGTATAAATATCCTGATGCATGCTCAATAATCCAGGTAGAAAAATCCAAAAAAGTTCAATCTGGTCCTCTGGACATTCAAAAAAACACAAAACAAAGCAAATCAACAAAAAAATGTAGAAACGTTTCGTCTCTCATCCGAGAGACTTCCTCAGTCTGAGGTGCTGTTTTCAGCTCAGTCTCTTAAATAGTACCTTCTCAGAGTGGATCAACCAGTTTGCTGCTGACAACCAAAACCAGCTGATCACATGATCAAGAAGGACCATCAGCCTAACAATGGATCATTAGCACACTGATGGCTGTTTACTATTCACAGAGGGCTGAGTGATACTAGCAATCACAGCATTGTAAGAGGGGGACAGTTGAACCTGGAGGCTCCACCCCTGTTTAATGATGGACGGTTTCTTTTCACAAAGATGGCCTCCTTTACTCCTCTCTCAAACCATCGTTCCTCTCTGTCCAGGATGTGAACATCTTCATCCTTGAAAGAGTGACCTCTGGCCTGGAGATGAGTGTAGACCGCAGAATCCTGGCCTGATGATGTTGATCTTCTGTGCTGGGCCATCCTTTTGGCCAGTGGCTGTTTTGTTTCCCCAATGTAAGACTGATCACAGCCCTCCTGACACTGAACAGCATACACAATATTACTCTGTTTGTGCCGGGGGACTGGATCTTTGGGATGAACCAGTCTTTAATGTATTTTGGGGTTTAAAAGCCACTGGGACGTTATGTTTAGAAAATAAACATCTCAGTTTCTCCGATACTCCCTCAACATATGGAATGACCACTGGTCTGGGTCTGGGTTCCTCCTTTTCACCTGATGGCTGACTGGAGTCCTGTTTGGGTTTCTTCTCTGCTTTCAGGAAGGCCCAGTTAGGATATCTACATTGCTCTAGAGCCTGTTTTGTGTAGGATTTCTCCTTCTGCCTGGCTCCTGAGTTAGTGGGGACGCTGTCTGCTCTCTGATACAGAGTCCTGATGACTCCTAACTTGTGCTCCAAAGGGTGATGGGAGTCAAACTGCAAATACTGGTCTGTGTGGGTGGGTTTGCAGTACACCTCAGTTTGCAAATGTCCTCTATCCGAGACTGAGACCTCACAGTCCAAGAAAGCCAACCTGCCATTTTTTACATCTTCTCGTGTGAACTTGATGTATTTATCCACAGAGTTGATGTGGTCAGTAAAATGTTGGACTTCCTGAGATTTAATTTTAACCCAGGTGTCGTCAACATACCTGAACCAATGACTTGGTGGTGTCCCTGAAAAGGACGTCAAGGCTCTCTTTTCTACCTCCTCCATGTACAGGTTGGCAACAATAGGAGAAACTGGAGACCCCATAGCACACCCATGTTTCTGCCTATAATATTGCTCCCCATATGTGAAGTAGGTTGACTGCAGGCACAGTTTCAAGAGTTGACACAGTTGTTCTGTGGAAAGCGTGGTCCTGCTGCTCAGAGTGGTGTCTGATTTTAATCTGAAACTGACCACCTCTACTGCATCATCAACAGGAATGCACGTAAAGAGTGATGTGACATCAAAAGAGACCATTGTTTCATCAGTCTCCATGATGACATCCCTCACCTTATCCACAAAGTCCATGATGTTCTGTATGTGGTGTTCTGAGCTGCCAACTAAAGGGATGAGTACAGACGCCAGATATTTGGAAACATTGTAAGTGACAGAGTTAATCATGCTAACAATAGGTCTTAAAGGTACACCTTGTTTGTGGATTTTAGGTAAACCATACAGACTAGGTGTGGCCTCCCCTGGGTACAGTCTGTGGTACAGAATACGGTCAATAGCCTTGTCCTGCTCCAAATTTTTCAGGCAATCTATTAACTTCTTCTTGTAACCACTTCCTGGATCTCTTTTCAGGGGTTCATAAGTGGTTAAGTCACTAAGGAGTGTCATAACTTTCTCATGATAGTCTTTCTGGTTCAAAATCACTGTGCACCTTCCTTTGTCTGCTGGGAGAATGATGATGTTTTTGTCCTTGCTAAGAGTGGTGAGTGCATCCCTCTCCTCTCTACTGATGGAAGGTGGTGGTTTGGCATTGCTGAGGCAGGATGAAACTTTGATTCTGAGCTGTTCTGCTTCACCCTCTTTCATTTTGTTGTTGCGGATGGCTGATTCTGTTGCTGTGATCATCTCCACCAGGGGAATCGTCCTTGGTGCAACTGCAAAGTTCAGTCCCCTGGCAAGAATCTCTGTCTCCGGCTGGGTGAGCTGTCTGTCAGATAAATTCTTCACCCATTTTTCTGTCTCCCTGGCATGTAATTGACTACTGGAGTGTTGTCCTACACTGAATGTGTTGTTATTGGAATAGTGATGGTGTTGATGAGTTATTAGTAAGTTAAACTTATTTTGTTGTCGAGTCTTGGACTTGACATGCTGTGCTAAGCGTGCCTGATCTGTACTGTCCAACACTTGCTGAAGTGTGGTCTGATCTAGACACATAGTTAGTTAGTCACATAGTTAGTTGAAAACAGCACCTCAGACTGAGGAAGTCTCTTGGATGAGAGACGAAACGTTTCTAGATTTTTTTGTTTTGTTTTGTTTTTTGTTTTTTTGAATGTCCAGAGGACCAGATTGAACTTTTTTGGATTTTTCTACCTGGATTATTGAGCATGCATCAGGCTAGATACCCAGTGTAATGCTGGTCCTCTTATACCATATTTATTTAATTTTTCAAGGAGAATAGTGTGGTCAATAGTATCAAATGCTTTTTTTAAATCAACAAAAATACTACTATTCGCCGGACCGGAGCAGAACCGCGTCGCCAGACTGGGCTGCCGGACCGGAGCAGAACCGGGCCAGGGATATCTTCAGCCTCTTCGTCTCTCGTGCTTGGAGCGCCAGAGCCGAACTGGAGCAGAACCGGACAGACCAGTTGCCGACTTCAGCCTCAGCCTCTCTGGTCAGTCTCGCTTTTCACCGGGGGTGCCCCGTGCTGTCGGGTGCTGAGAAGCGGAGGATCAGCGTGGAGGAGCAGCGTGAAGGAGCAGGTCTGCGTGGTGCTCGAGAGAAGTTCGGAGTTTGTATCGGAGCTGCTGCAGGCCTCTATCCAAACTCACCTGGATAATAATTAATTTTATTCCGGATCACGCTGTTGGCCCCTGTTGACCTGATACGAGCTTGGATCATGCCTTTCACTTCAGGAGGATTTTCTGGCAGCTCGTTCTGCTATTTGCTGTGAATTATCTGTTTCTGTTTTGGCCTGTTGATTCTGGATCCAGCTTCTGTTTCCCATGGGAGCATCCATCCTTCCATCCATCCATCCTTCTTCACTGGGGGGCTGGAGCCCCCCTCAGCCCAACTCAAACTGCAGTTGGGCCACTTCGTCGGGTTTGTTTGCCCATTTGAACTGTGACTTTTTATGGTCTGAAACTTTTCTGCATCATTCATATTACTGTCACTATTTTCAGTTCTCAGATTATCTGGAGTCACTGAATCTTGTTAATACACCTGAATCTGTCCACCACTGCAACTTTCACTGTTTTTGGGTTCTGAATGATCACGTCTTCATTAATGTTTCTCATGGTTCGATTATGGGGGCTAATTGTCACACTGTTAACTCCTGTAATTACACATCAGTCACAAAAAACTCAAGAAAATGTCTGATAATAATGTTGTTGCTGCTCTCAGGGATTCAGCCCAACCCTGGACCCCCCACTAATTACAGCACACCAAATTACTTTAAAAACGCCTCTGGGCTTCATTTTCTGCATGTAAACGCTCGTAGTCTTCTGAAAAAACTGGATGCTTTGAAAATCCTGGTCAGTTCTTCTGGGGCAGATGTTATCTTTATTTCTGAATCCTGGCTGAACAAATCTGTATCTGTAATGAATAATGACGTGGCAATCAATGGATTTAACATCTACCGCTGTGATCGTCAAAAAAGGGGGGGTGGAGTCATTATTTACATTAGAGATTCTCTGGTTTCTAGTCTTGTGACTTCCAAAACAATTCCAAACCAGTTTGAAGCCTTATCTGTAAATATCACCTTGAATGGAGGCCAGATTTTAACTGTAGTC